AGCAATGTACACATGTAATACATGAATCCTGTGCGCTATGCTGTACTCCCTGGTCGATATCAAGCTGTGTTTATTGCCCTATGAGTAGCTACATGTTGTTACTGGCAGGACTGGGGTGTGTCGTGAGCCGTGAAATCAATACTAATGGGTTGCTGTAGAGAAAGTGTTCGATTGACTACACACGTCCAGGTGTTAATGTTTTGTGTGCAACTTTATCAAGAAATGGTTTGGAAATAATCTATGTGGTCCTCTCGAAGAAACATAACATATTTCTTTCTGTTTAACATTAAGTGAGTGAGTGAGTGAGTATGATTTTACGCCGCTTTTAGCAATATTCCAGCAATATCACGGCGGGGGACACCAGAAATGGGCTTCACACATTGTATCCATGTGGGGAATCGAACCCGGGTCTTCGGTGTAACGAGCGAATGCTTTAACCACTAGGCTACCCCACTGCCCTTAACATTAAGGATACGTAACAGAACTAACTCAAAATAGTGGCATCAAATAGCGAAATAGGGAGAGTGTTCTTTTCTGTAAAAGGTAAAATATTCAGATGCCTGTTAACGTTGTTAAAAGTATAAACCAGGACTGGATATATTTAGCTTCATGAAGACAACTGTTACACAAATCATCAATGTTTGATTAAGTTTGTTGGGTTTTAACGCCGCACTCAGCAATATTCCAGCTATACGACGGTTGTCTGTAAATAACCCAGTCTAGATTTAACCAATCTAGTGATCAACATTATGAGCAACGAACTATGCAGTTGCATGGGATACGGTGACAAGTGTCAATCAAGTAAGCGAGCCTGACCACTCGATTCCGTTAGAAGCCCCTTACGACAAACATGGGTTATAACCCGGATCTCCATACTGACTGACTGACTGAGTATGGTTTTACGCCGCTTTTAGCAATCTTCCAGCAATATCACGGCGGGGGACACCAGAAATGGGCTTCACATTATTGTACCCATGTGGGATTCGAACCCGGACCTTCGGCGTGACGAGCGAACGCTTTAACCACTTTTGCAAAATAGGCTACCCACCGCCCCCCGGATCTCCATATAATTGCATGGGTAGTTTCCTTTAAGATTTATTGAATGTATTTAATAACCTTGTAGTAATAATGCGGAACCTGTCTGCACGGGTGGTCAGGCATACCGAGAATAGTGCCTTGTGTGGCATAAACAATTAACACACAAACCACATTACTTGAAAGGAGTATCACAGCATTGCATTAATAAGACCCGAAATTCTATTTACGTTTTACTTGACGATAAAGTACTGTAGAATAATCGGGACTGTAAATATGATACAAATGGTTTGACATCAAACAGATCTGGAGTCCGGTGTTGATAGATTTCACTATAGCGCGTATTATCATTGATATTTTGTGCTGAGTTCATGTAACAAAGTTTTCATTTCTGAAAGACTTTTATTACGTTACAATGCTATCTCAGTGCACTTGAAATACGATACGACGTGGAACTATTAAACTGATTTTGAATTGATAATTAGATGAGCTATAATGTTGTTGTTTTTTTCCGTCAATTCAGAGACGTGCCTGTTTCAACAGTTAGTGATCAATGGTTTATCTAACAAGAACAGTTTTACGAGACGCATTACTGATATCTGCGGAGTACAGGCATTCAGTATTGACTCTAGTCACCAAGGGGTCAAAGATCGGACATGCCACACTCGAGACGGGCCACTTGAATACCTGCCACAATGGCGACAAAGTATCTGATTCACAAACACCAAGGAGCAGTCACATTGCTTATGTATCATTAATTGGGCTTGTGTGTGTATGAAAAGGAAGGAAATACGAGTGAGTGAGTGAGTATTGTTTTACTCTACTTTTAGTAATATCACGACGCAGGACTTGAGATGTAAAATGTTTCATATATTATAACCATGTAGGTAATAGAACCGGGTCTTTGGCGCGACGTGCGAACGCTTTAACCTTTAGGCTAATCCATCGCCTGCAGGAAATATGAATTCCCAAAAGGTCGCGAGCGAAAGAACGTAACATTCAAAGGTCGCGAGCGAAAGAACGTAACATTATATAATGCATTTTCTCACTCGGGAAATACCAACATTTAGGCACTCGTGTCGTAAACATAGTATAACATGGGCACTCATATAATATCTTATATATATTACATTATGATGTTCAAAAGTGCCTTTTTTGAGGAAACAAAAAATATTACAAATATGTTTAATTTTTTTGGCACGATCGAAGACTAAGGAACAACAGCATTTTTAAGTGAACAAAGTTAAAGAATTCAAACTAAATAAAAGTATTACAATGTAAAATACCAGGGTTATTGCCCTTACATTTTCAATTAATAGTATAGAATTTCTTCTAAAATGGTAACGCCCTGAACATAAACAATTATGTTCATGATTGCATTGAATACTGCAATCACATATCTGTTATAATATAAAATATTTCACAGATCAGCATATCTATATTGTATCTGTGTTTGTTTTTTATTACGATGAACTGATACCAAACGAGATTAAAACGCCCTCATGTAACTTCTAACGATTCAAATAATCATTAAACGACGCATAAAACGTTTCGTATTGTTTAGAGATCAATACTATTTTCAGTTACGACAGTGAAACAAAATGTAATATGAAACGAGATAAGGGTCTTAGTGATTTCTCCCTCACTCAATCGATTTGCCATTTACAAGCCCATGTCATATTGTCAATACGACGAGAATATTCTAACCACATTGTGTCAAGCAGGATTGAACGCTCCAATGTATTTGACTGACCTTGCATGTTAAGGCATTAAAACAAATCTACAGTTCAACACTAGCTGTGTGAGGTCTTCCGGGGTCAGACTTACAGTAACATATCCAGCATTGCTGCCTGTTATTAAATTTTCTGCAGAAAGTCACAGAGATAAAGTTTTCTTATTTAAAAAAATATATATCTTAATTTTATTTTTTAAATCTTAAAGGAGACCAAAACATTTCTTAATCTCGGGTAATAGAACAGATGCAGTCTAAACTTGTTTAATCATTCTCTACTGGAGTTAAACTCCTTTTTTATTTATTCCACTGGTGTGGGCGACAGATCAAGTGTGTGCAAGTAGGTGTAACTTAATATGTAATGTGTTTGGTTGATATAGGTGGAATTTCATACATCGTTAATGACAAATCGTTGCAACGTTTCATCAATATTGACATAGTAATATGAGAGACATACTGCATACAAAGACATAGTTTAGACTTTAGGGTTATCAATTACATGAACATTGTATACACATCGTTGACAAAGACATATTCGACGCAGTCTCTCATGTGTCATATGACAGCGTCCATTAAAAAGGTATGGCTGTCTGATATGAACCAAATTTGAAATCACATTGTATCAATGTTAGTTTTGTTCATTAAGTGTATATATACATTATATCTAATAGACCTACCTACAATATACTTGTTTTTATATACAACCAATATGAAATCACATTGTATCAATGTTAGTTTTGTGCATTAAGTGTATATATACATTATATTTAATAGACCTACCTACAATATACTTGTTTTTATATACAACCAATATGAGATAATATTCCAACCACGCTGTTCTTTCCTGTATAGACACCGACCCCGAACATCCCGGGCTGCTTTTTCAGAAGACGTTAATAATGACACTTGTTGTTGACCTGCCTGGCGCTTGGCATTAAGAGGTTATGACAAGTACTGGCCCCGATTTCTCGAAACAAACTTAACTTTTTACTCAAATTTCAAACTGAGTTTGACAATTTGAAACAGCTGAATGTTTTACTCAACTGAATTTGTAAATAAAAAAGCCCAAACAACTTAAGTAATCTACCCACCAAACTCAAATTGTCTACTATGTTTGAGTTTAATATCGATTTCAGTTCATTCTGGGAAATGCATTTTCGCAAATTTGAGTAAAACTCTAACTTAAGTCAAAATTCAGACTTAAGTTTGTTTCGAGAAATCGGGGCATAGTCGACTCAGAGTCCACATAACGCGTTTGCGTGGGGCATCCATGCTAAACTGAAGCGACCCGTGAAGATCCGAGTTAGAATTGGTTTTCAGTAACACGTGCTTGTCGTAAGAGACGACTACCAGGCTCGCTGACTTGGTTGACACACGTCATCGTATCACAATTGCGTAGATAGATGCTCATACTGTTGATCACTGGACTGTCTGGTCCAGACTCGATTATTTACAGACCGCCGCCATATAGCTGGAATATTGCAGAGCGCGGCGTTAAACAACAAACAAGCTAAATTACACTGAAGCAAGTTATCCCACGGGGCTGGCACTTGAAAACTGGCAGTAGTCTGGAATAGTGAAATCACTGACGCACGCACGAACGCACGGACACACGCACGCAATATGCGACGTGAAACCAAAGTTCATCGCACTTCATCTCCTTTATATTATGTGGGAATTAGTATAAGGTATATTTTGAACTGCATGAAATGTTGCACAGTGATAATTCTTCAACCAGATTTGAACCGGAAAATCTATTGTTTGGAAGCACGATGAGTGAGTGAGTATGGTATTACGCCACCTTTAGCAATATTCCAGCAATAACACGGCGGGGGACACCAGAAATGGGCTTCCTACATTGTATCCATGTGGGGAATCGAACCCGGGCTTCGGCGTGACGAGCGAACGCTTTAACCACTAGGCTACCCCACCGCTCCTTCGAGGCACGAAGGACGACCAATGGCAGGTCAAACATCCTAACCATCCAATATCCTTATAAATACACTTTTATTGTGTGAGTGATTAATAAATGAAGTGTGATTGTTCGCCACGTTGAGCATTAAACCATGGCGGGAATCGAACCTGTCTTCAACATGACAAGCCTACCTTTTAACCACATTTTCTACCCCACCGACCCAGAGCACACCTGGAACGCATTTTCCCTAAGAACATTAGTAAATATTAGAAACAGATAATGCTAATCCCAAATGAACTATTTCTTGTGTATCGTTACCTTGTGACGTTTGTGCCATTTTGAGTGCGTTCCCTCCTCACACCCACCAGCTTGTCTCCGGCTTTTGGCGGCATGTCATGTCCAGGATATACGCCGTAATCCCTTAATCTCTCAGTGCTTCACAGGTAATCTCACTGGCCACAGCCACAAGCTTCGACCTCAGTGTATCGCTTGATTTGTTTTATTGAAACTTCGCGTGAGCCTATTTTACGCTAGAATTGGGCAGTAAAGAAGGAAGATCAATAAATAAAGATTGGAGGTAGTCCTTTGGTTTGATTGTAGATATGACTCGGTTATTAGCTATACTACCCGATTGTGCACCTATGAAGATCATTTGACATATCTTGAGGCTATGAGACGTAAATCATGTCATGCTAGACTCCATTGCTGCGAACAGTGAAAATTGTTGCACTATAAATGCCATAACTGTCGCGTTAATGTTGATGTTCCTCACGATTTCTTGAACGAACGCAGTTTACCAAAAGAAACCTCGCCTTACGTTCCACTTACAATATTACACAGTTGGTATATAACTCAAGCACATTTCCTCCGGTCCTGGTTTTCATGAAATCCAATATAAGAATGTCAACACACATTCAGGATTACGATAAGAACTAGGCGCTTTTGTTGATTCCGTGAAACCATATTTACTGAGCTGAATGATTGGGTTAATATTCTCGTGAATAATGTGATTACCCAGATCCGCGGGATTTATAGCATATGTCCATATTGCAATTCATGACACGCTGAGGAAAGTCCACTGATTTGCTGTTAACAGTTGAGTCATTATCTCGGTCGTCGTGTGAGTTATTCCACTGTTATAGACCTCCTGGAATCACAATGCCCATGTTCTGCTGCCATTGTTCCCATTGTGTGTTGTCATTGTGGAAGGTATGCCACATATTATCTTCTTGTCAGTATTTCTACAGTTCGATCTTCAAAGGACACAGTGCATGAAACCGTAAAGTAAACAAGTTCAGGTGTCTTATCTCAGGCTCTCAAACATCGAACCACCGTTGTGACGTTGTGATCGGTTACACCCACGTGCAGTGTACCTACACACCCGCTCATACGCATTAAAACGCACGACACGATGAATTCAAAGGGTCTCAGGCCACAACCTTGTAGTACAGCCAGTGTCGAAGTGTCCCGATTCCAATACCTGTCCCATACACATTACCTGTAACGTTCCTTGTGTCCTCTCCTCAAGCCACGACAATCCTTGTACAATGTATACAAAGGCTATCCACAATCACTGCGGAACCTGTTCCTTTAACGCGGAGGCTAACCCGTAATCCATACCACCAACACAACAGATAATCGAAGTCTGTCGTTGTACTTTAACTGTGCCTGGTTGTTAGGTCGATGAGACTAGCCTTTCCTAAGTGAACGCCCATGGTCTCTGCCCCTCACTCTGACAAACGCATATCGGTATTCTCGTCCCCCAGGGAGCTCTGTGCGTGCATGCCGGGGGTTCAGATTAGGTGACTGGTGGAGATAGGACATGTCAGTCCGAGTAGCACTTCCGACGTAGTCAAGTGTGAATGGGTATTATGTTACACTTACTCTGTACAGCCTTAGTTAACATTAGTATTTATGTTTTAACTCGCCAAGTCATGTTGACGTGTAGTAATTCATAAGCTGGACGTTAAACAGTTAAACATAAGTATGTAGACAAGAGAAAATACATACATGGACGCACACTGACAATGCCTGAATTCACGATTGCAAATGTAAGCATAGTTATGTAAATATATGTCTGGAAAGTGAATAAAAACATTATAGATTATACATGGCTGTGTTATGCAGTGTTGAATTAGTCATGGAGTATTTAGTGGGTTAGGCCTCGAAGTCGTTGCATGTTCATGAATATAAGAATCTTAACGTTGAATGTATTACCTCTGTAGGGTAGACACGCGGTGCAGGCGGTGTCTGTCAGACATCTGTGCTTAGTCTCTGTTCGTATATGCAAGTATACATCATGGTTTGTGACGCAATGTTCCTTACATAATCCAGTCTGATAGGAATTGCCTGGTTGTGTTGTGTGTCAATTCGTCATTGTTGGGGGCATATTGAGTGAGTATGGTTTTACGCCGCTTTTAGCAATATTCCAGCACTATCACGGTAGGGGACACCAGAACTGGGCTTCACACATTGGATGGCATATTAAATCTAAAAGTATAATGGTCTCTTTTTGGAACGGTTGTCCTTTACATCTTATGTTCTCTACAATGGGTGGAGGCATTTGAAGACTGTGTAATAACCACAGCAAGCGACATTCTCTCGGAAACAACTATAACATTTTGTCGCCAGATTCATTTACCCAAACAAATATCATTGATATACCATAATCTCACTACTTGGGTCCGTGTGCATTCACTTGTCGCTAGCTTCCTGGCCAGCATACACGCAAGGTGACATATGAGGCTCCTCCGTGTCTACTGTCAGCTTTCCGTCTCTTCCCCCCAGTGTAAATATAATATACTACAAACAAAAAGTATGGGAACACCCTAAACTTTGATAGTCATATATACTGAGTCAAAAAAGAAACTTCACATTCTTTCTTCAGGGCACTATAAAAGAACAAGAGATGGTAAGATGGTTAAATTGTTATTATTTCATTGCTGAGATCTGTGTGATGTACTCGATACACTGACAGTGCCATAATCAGTTCCATTAGTTCAACACCGCCGTTCCAAAACATGGGTATACAGAATGTCAAGTCACAAGAATAAAAATGCGAAATTTCTCAGTTCACTATCGTGTATGGCGGCCCCGCGCATTCACCACTGCCAAACACCGTCTCCTCATCGACTGCCTGATGCTTGTGAACACGTGGTTGGGGATTCTGCGCTACCGCTCTAGCAAGGCAGCGCCAAGTTCCTGCAAATTCTGAGGTTGGTTCCTAAGACCACGAAGCCTTCTCCCAAGTGCATCCCAAACGTGCTCTATTGGATTAAGGTCAGGGGACCTCGATGGTCAGTCCATGACGTTTATTCCAGCGTTTTGAAGGAAATTTCGTGTCAACATCGCGGTATGCGGCCGAGCATTATCATGCTGGAACTGTAGACCTGGGCCATGAGCCGCCATGAAAGGAACGAGTTCAGGGGTGAGCACCTGGTCGCGGTAAGCAGCAGCTGTGAGGTTTCCACGGATGACCAGAAGTCGGGAACGGTTGTTCCCACAGAAAGCACCCCACACCATGCAACTTCCGCCCCCGAATCTGTCGACTTCCTGTACACAACATCGGGCATACCGTTCACGGCGTCGTCTCCAGACTCTATGCCTGCCGTCCGCGAATCTGAGGGTAAACCTGGATTCATCGACAAAGACGACTCGATTCCAGTCTCTCTGGGTCCATCGGAGGTGACGTTGGGCCCACAGCAGACGTTGACGTTGATGAAACGGCGTCAATATTGGCCCACGGTATGGACGTCGAGAAGGGAGATTGGCAGCCCGCAACCGATTTCGAATGGTCTGTGAGGACAGTCGACCTCTAAACATCTCAGGCCTGGTTCGTGTAGCCGGCAGAAATCTGTCACGTAGGTGACGTAGGACGATTTGACGGTCTTCTGCTCGTGACGTCACACGTGGACGACCCGACCTTGGGCGATCAGAAGTGGTGCCAGTTTGTTGTAGACGACCTTGCAAGTCATACACAGTACGACGGTTGCATCCCATTGCTCTTGCGACGTCAATAACTGATCTTCCCGCTTGCAACATGCCAACGGCACGTTCACGTTGCACATTTGATAATCGTGGCATTTCAAGTACCGTTAGAACTGTGGTTTAAAAGTGTTTTTTCAATTCTTGAGGCCAATGCAAACACGTGCATATGAAGAAAACTTCGATGCGAAGATCACGTGATCGACTGCACGTGCAAAACCTGATTTGGCACTAACGTCATTCGCACGACGAATGGAAGGTTTTGAGTGGGCTTTGCTAACGTTTTTCTAGAGTCGACAGATAGGGATCCCATTTCGGGATTTCAAGTTACATTTTGTGAAGTTTCTTTTCTGACAGAAACGTGGAGAGGTCATTTATACTCTAAAGTAAATGCAACTTTTTGTGTGCTTAAAAGGCACGTTAAACGACATGTTGGAACATTCAGTGAAGCAACTGATTCAATATTCGTTGAGTTTGAGTGAAAAGAAACATTGTTAAAAACAGCGAAAAACAAGACACCAGCACCATGTTTGATTCATACGCCAAAACACAACAGCCTGGTGCATGCGGAAGACAAACTTCCCATGCAGCTTGTGGCAACTGGGCACAGGATAGTTCACTACATAAGGTATAGGTATTAAAACATATTCACATCACTCTGACGGTGCCGTGTTGAGTTATCATTTTGTGGAAATATACACTTACATACATTTATGCTTCAGTTACACTAGTGATACTGTATGTATGTATGTATGTATGTATGTATGTATGTATGTATGTATGTATGTATGTATGTATGTATGTATGTATGTATGTATGGATGGATGGATGGATGGATGGATGGATGGATGGATGGATGGATGGATGGATGGATGGATGTACATATGGATGGATGGATGGATGTATGGATGGATGGATGGACAAAAAATTCACGGAGGAAAAGAACTTTACCAATCCCAAACTTCGGAAAACGTGAGTTAAAATATACTGAGTCAAAAAAGAAACTTCACAAAATGTAATTTGAAAAATAATGAATACTTTTTCTCTGATGATACATCTATGTATTCGAAATGGGATCCCTATCTGTCGACTCTAGAAAAACGTTAGCAAAACCCACTCAAACCCATCCATTCGTCGTGCGAATGACGTTAGTGCCAAATCAGGTTTTGCACGTGCAGTCGATCACGTGATCTTCGCATCGAAGTTTTCTTCATATGCACGTGTTTGCATTGGCCTCAAGAATTTTGGAAAAAACACTTTTAAACCACAGTTCTAACGGTACTTGAAATGCCACGATTGTCGAATGTGCAACGTGAACGTGCCGTTGGCATGTTGCAAGCGGGAAGATCAGTTATTGACGTCGCAAGAGCAATGGGATGCAACCGTCGTACTGTGTATGACTTGCAAGGTCGTCTACAACAAACTGGCACCACTTCTGATCGCCCAAGGTCGGGTCGTCCACTTGTGTCGTCACGAGCAGAAGACCGTCAAATCGTCCTACGTCACCTACGTGACAGATTTCTGCCGGCTACACGAACCAGGCCTGAGATGTTTAGAGGTCGACTGTCCTCACAGACCATTCGAAATCGGTTGCGGGCTGCCAATCTCCCTTCTCGACGTCCATACCGTGGGCCAATATTGACGCCGTTTCATCAACGTCAACGTCTGCTGTGGGCCCAACGTCACCTCCGATGGACCCAGAGGGAATGGAATCGAGTCGTTTTTAGCGATGAATCCAGGTTTACCCTCAGATTCGCGGACGGCATGCATAGGGCCTGGAGACGACGTCGTGAACGGTATGCCCAATGTTGTGTACAGGAAGTCGACAGATTCGGGGGCGGAAGTTGCACGGTGTGGGGTGCTTTCTGTGGGAACAACCGTTCCCGACTTCTGGTCATCCGTGGAAACCTCACAGCTGCTGCTTACCGCGACCAGGTGCTCACCCCTGAACTCGTTCCTTTCATGGCGGCTCATGGCCCAGGTCTACAGTTCCAGCATGATAATGCTCGGCCGCATACCGCGATGTTGACACGAAATTTCCTTCAAAACGCTGGAATAAACGTCATGGACTGACCATCGAGGTCCCCTGACCTTAATCCAATAGAGCACGTTTGGGATGCACTTGGGAGAAGGCTTCGTGGTCTTAGGAACCAACCTCAGATTTTGCAGGAACTTGGCGCTGCCTTGCAAGAGCAATGGCGCAGAATCCCCAACCACGTGTTCACAAGCATCAGGCAGTCGATGAGGAGACGGTGTTTGGCAGTGGTGAATGCGCGGGGCGGCCATACACGATAGTGAACTGAGAAATTTCGCATTTTTATTCTTGTGACTTGACATTCTGTATACCCATGTTTTGGAACGGCGGTGTAGCCTAATGGAACTGATTATGGCACTGTCAGTGTGTCGAGTACATCACACAGATCTCAGCAATGAAATAATAACAATTTAACCATCTTACCATCTCTTGTTGTTTTATAGTGCCCTGAAGAAAGAATGTGAAGTTTCTTTTTTAACTCAGTATATAGATACCGCCCACTGCACACGGACAGCTTTCGTATTTCAGAATTTAAATCTTACTTGTATAAAGACTTCACTGCGTGTCTCCGTGATCCCGGGGTATAAAGGTGCAACAATGATCGACCTCACACGTATCTAGCAGTAGGGTAACATTAATCCCATACCATGCTAGTGTTGTAATACCCACATTCAATACCTGACGCCTCGTGTCTTCATAGCCTTCGAACCATACGTGAACCCCCCACAGATAG